CTTTAAATGCCATTGTTACATTGTTAATGCTGATTTCTGGATTCTGAGCATGGTATTGTTCTGTCATTGGTAGATAGGCCTGTAGAACTGATTTATGCTTGTATTGATGTTTCGCATTTAGGCTGAAAATTCCCAACAATTACTATGGCTTCTTATGATGTATGAAACAGTGTAATATTGCAATATATGAAGACAACAATTTATTATGACGAATCTGTTTCACTTTATTCCTCAGTTTTCCATTAACTGACGACAAGAATCCTAAAATTTTAGAACTAAACAAAGATTATTGATAAACCTGACCTGATTTATTGGCGTAAAAAGCACGTTGAATCAGAAAATACCACAAAAAACATTGCAAGAAATAGCAGAAATCGTATCTTGGTCAGGTCAGGACATGTGAATTTTCAACCAGAAGCTGGTTTCCCCCTGCCTTGTAACATTTTATATATCTCCACTAGCATCTGAGTCTCTGGCAGCACTTCTTTAAAAGCGTTATGTGAACAAATTTTCTCCGCCCACCCTGCCAGGCCCGGGGTCTTGAGTTCATCGAGAAATTTCACTCCGGATATTACCTCTGTCGCTTTAACCCATCCCATGAGGGAACCTAGTGCAATATCGAGGGAACCTAGTGCAATATCGAGGTAACCAACATTATCTCCACCGAAAAATGGTTTCCCTCCGTCATACTTGACAAAAGTCTCCTCCAACAAGACCGAGCCTTCATATATTCTCCCTATGATTTCCTTTCTTGCTTCCGCTGTGGATGCTTCTCTAAGCTCCTTGTATAGTGGATACAAGGAGCTTAGTCCTTGTAATGAATGATCCGAATGGTTTCATTTATGCTCAACTATAACAGTTTCTCTTTGTAGCATCGTGGTCACGGATTAAGTCCTAATACTATTTACTAGAGCAAAAAGAAACAGCAACAAACTGAAAGCTTAGTCCACTTGTAACTGCACACCTATGAATCTGGGTCTCATAATAAAATGACACTCCAAAAATCCTTTATATATCATAAAAACTGGAAAGGAGATATGCCCATCGCTGATATGTCAATCCACATTCGAGAGAATACGTGAACTATGATTATACTACACAGTTCAACACGCTAGAAAATTACTTAAAGAACAAGGGGGAACTAAATTGTACCTTATCGTCAATATAGGCTGCCCAGAACCTGGCTAAGGCACGGTCGTGGGGGTTAGAAGGGAGTATGGAGGAACTATTATTCCAGGCATCATTAATGTATTCAACAATTATAAGGGATTCACAAACAGCTTTGCCATCATGGATAAGAACTGGGATTCTCTTTTGAACAGGATTGGCTTTAAGAAGGCGCTCACTTCGGTCATGGGGATTCTCTTGAATGAACTCATACTCGATGAACTTTAAGTGAAGAGCTATCTGAACCCTGTTCACATATAGGCATGGTGATACGCCTAAAAGCTGCACACTTGCCATGGCCAATTCTCTGAAGCTAAAACCAGATTTTACGTTCAGGAAAGCTACTTCTCTTGGTATTTATCAAGAGATTGCAATGGTACAAGTTAAATGGATATGTCAAAATTGAGTCTTTCTTGTTAGTATAAATACTAACAAGATTTGGCATTTCTGCTGCAAATGAAGCGTAAAACGATCATTGAGATCTCCACCATCTCTATGTAGGATCATCCCCCGTAGCAAATGCGCCAACTTGCCAAAAGATAATTAAATGGTGAAAAAACTGCGACAGCCAAGACCCGAGCATAGGCCATCTCAAGCCTTTCTTAGTTGTCAAGACTCGACCTACTTAACACCACTATGTATGTATAGGTGTAGAGAGGGAAGGCAAGTACGTGGTACTGTCGAGCAAAGTGAATAATATAATTGAAAATTAATTTCTTTCCTAAATTAGGGGTCAAGCATTTGTATTTCTTAAATTCTTCCATTTAAGCACTGAAGTAAAATAAAAAGTCAATTTTCTATTTTTGTCAAAAAATTTTGAATAATTCTTTCAAAAAGAAAAACAGTAGTAGTCAAGAATGATCAAATTTTGAATTTTGGACCACAAACAAATTTAAGGTTTGATCCATTTGACCAAAGGCCCAATAAAATTGAATAAATTACATGCACCAAGTCGCTATCTTACTCCAGATGCGTCGGCTAAGGCAGTTCTTCTCACAATAAAGGAGCAGCCACCAGCTCCCCACCTGTCCCTATACCCTTTTTTATTTTGACCCGGCGGAGCCACCGAGCGAGAAATTTCCATCATCAAGGCCAAGAATACACCCACTCTCTCACGCACAAACACACACGACTGTGTGTTAAAATACGGAGAAATATATAGAATAGAGAGAATTGCAGGCTTTAATTTCATTTCGAATTCTTTTTATTTTCATTTCCCACTATTTCTTTCTTTAATTTCTGCATAACGATATAGATCTTGCGGTTTGGTATATGTGTATGTATAATGTGAACATATATGAAATAAAATTTTGTAATCATTTTGAGAGATAGGTGACTTTTGATTCTTATGAAAATGGAAATGAATCTCAAGAGCGGAAAAGAATGAAACTTTAGTTAAAATTTAGATCTCATCTAAAAAGTTTAGAAAATTATTTTTTATACTTTCTGTATTAAATTTAATTAGTAAATGGAAATCTGATCGAAGTTTTAAAAATTTAGAAAGGATAAAGATATATTTTTGGGTTTAAATTTCTAGAAATTGTTGGAAAATGCCGGGGCATGGGGATTTGGACAGGCAAATAGAGCAATTGATGGAGTGCAAGCCGCTGTCAGAGGTGGAGGTGAAAACTCTGTGCGATCAGGCGCGGGCGATTCTGGTGGAGGAATGGAATGTGCAGCCGGTGAAATGCCCCGTTACTGTCTGCGGTGACATACATGGCCAGTTCTATGATCTGATCGAGCTATTCAGAATAGGCGGCAACGCTCCAGACACCAATTACCTCTTCATGGGAGACTATGTCGGTGAGTTTTTCCTTGAATTATTGGGCGAAAAAGAGGTTTCCTGTTTTGTGTTTGTTGTATACTCTCGACCTAGATGCTGGAGTTATTTACTTGGATAAATATTGGATTTATAATCTACTTCCTTTTTTGGATTTTGGTGGTATGGGAACTTCTCTATTTAAAGCTGTGTGAACAGGT